GCTTGTTTCTCTACTCCCTTAGATCAGAATTTTTGAGACTTTTAAAGAATTTAAAAAAAAATGACTGGCGTTGCACATGCTGTTCTCGCACGTCGACATTTGTCATCAGATGAAATTTTTACGTTATAACAAGGAGTCCAAAGGATGTGAAGAGGAAATCTAGAAAAAGCGATTAAAAACTGAAATGCTAATTGCAGATGAAGCAAATGGAAACGGAGCTGCAAGCAGCACGAGACAGGGCAGCCTGGCTTGAAGAGAAGCAGCGTGGCACTGGAGAAGAGATATGGCTCGCCAAAGAGCGGGTAGCAAATCAAGACCGTGAATTGGGTGAACTTCATCAGCAGTGCTCTTGGCTACGGGATGAAAATGCTAAGCTGCAAAAGCAGCTCGAGGAAGAAAGGAGCCGAGTAAGTAATTTATTTGCGCTTCCATCTGAACACGATTTATTTCTTTTTTTTTCAAAGCAGTTGCACTTTAAAAAAAGTAGCACAAATCGAAGTTAGGATTAAGATTTCTTACCCTGGGAGAGAGAGTAGAGGAAGCTTTTCAGGATTCGGGATTTGTTTGCTTACTAATCAATTTTAATCACCTTTTTTTCTAAATCTTGGTGAAAGAGATTTGGCTTCGGATAACTGCGAGCATACAGTTAACTAAATCAATAGCAGGATTCCGTTTTTAAAAGATTTCTACTGTCTTTATTTGCATCTTTCGGAGAACTAGCAATTTATAGTATACGGAATCGGATGGCGTCGACTGGTCCAAACTCGAGGAACTTAATGAGCAGAAAAAAAAGATCGAGGATAAGTTGAGAGACGAGAAAAGTAAGGTCGAATGGCGGCTTGGTGAGGTGACACAGTATTGGAACGACGCCAAGTGGAGGTGTGTTTAGTTTTATTTTACCAGTTCAGTTACTTAAAATATAGGAAGTTGTGTAACATAAACAGAGCGGACACCCTTTTTTGCAAATGGTTATGAACCGGAAAAGAATCGAACCGCTCCTTTTTACAACCGGGCACGATGTGCCATTCAATTCATCACCTGCTGTTGTGTCCGATACTCACCATTTCTACTGTAGATCTACCGTTTAAAGCAAAATACACCTTGCTTCCTTCTTTGGACATCCAAGGGCAGCGAAGAGGAAAGACGCTTCGAATTATGCATTGTACAGTTTGGCCTCTTTGTGTCCGCTGTCCTCGTTGCCATACCATTTTTCGAAGGCATATCAAAGCAACCTGGCAATCAATCAGGAAAATTATCGGTCGGATAACGCGCAACGGTCGCGATATGCCGAGAACTCGGGTTGGTCTTTGGTGAGGGTCCCATTTAAGCGCTACTTTTACAGCATTCTGGTCAGTTTAGGAGACGGATGGGGGCGGCAGCATACTCGGCCCCACATTTGCTGTTAAGCTGTGTTTTCTGAGCGGCAGCTTTTAGCTCCACTCTTTACTCGATGGCCAGAAGTTCTTTTAGTAGCATCGACTAACCCCCTTATCCATTAGCGATGAGGCTGGGGCTAGCCTTTTCAAAACAACAGCGGTGCTTCTCGGCGGCGGCGGTTATATGCCTATATGTATCCGGTATTGTTTGTTCCTGGCCCGAGCGTGAGCAGTGTTGTTTCATCGAATTAACGACGGCATTAACTGCTGTCCCTTTCAACAACGATATTCGACATGTATCGGCGACTTTGGATCTGCATCATTCTGCGTTCACCGACGAGTTCTTCAACGAAGGGAGATATATTCTGGATAAGCGTTTGCGCCTATCAAAAGTTTCATCATACTTTTTGGAGCGGCTTCTTTGTTGGCTTTTCGCAGGCTTTCCGCAACAGATTAATGGGGTGCCATTATTGCCTATGGTCAGCGCATTTTACAGCACCACATAATTACTGACGTTTGAGGAACATTACATTGGGAATTATAGAGTGTATGTTAAGTAGATTTTGATTTTGGCCTGCTAGGCTATTGTTTTTTAATGCGTTTTTCAAATCCAAAGAGCGATTTGTTATATTAAAGAAGGGACAGCAGTGATTCACCGTCAGTATTATAATAACTGTTATTAGTGATGTTTAGGATTGGCGAGCTGGAGGCAGGCATCGCGCATAAGCA